AACCGACGTCATCAGTATTTATATCCTAGACACAGTGTCAGAATGTCACGTGACTGATAGTGCAAGGAACGGGATTTATCAAAAAAGTTCCAACATTCGAGCTACCCTCGAGAGCCCACTCTATCACACATGCATACCAAAGCCTTGTAATGCCACATTGGTAACCTCATAGGAGCAACAGCCAAATCCAGGACCGCCACTTGGTAGAAGGCGGGGGGTATCTACCCCCCCTCGTTTTTCTCAACACTTTTTGGGAACAATACGAGTCCACATAAACAGAAAGTTTGCGAGCATGATCCACGCTTGTCCTGTAATTTTGTCACACTAAATGCTCCTATATTAAATCGGTTTTAATTGTTTATCTGTAAAAAAAAGACAAAACATACACACACCCTCCTCCTTACTGAAATGGCGCCCCGGGTCCAATTGGTTGACAGAAAGTTAACATGATATCTAGTTTATAAGACTAGAAAATCTCCAATTATAATGACATTTCGCTTTATGTTGAAGTGAGACTGCCTGGGGGGTACCTTTGTGGAATTGAATTCCTTATAAAAAATAATAGTGCAGTTTTGAATATCGGGCGACTTTCATTTTATTAATGAAAGAGATGCACCATTAGCTGAAATTCGTTTCATTAATTGATAAATCTGTCTCCTCTCTACTCTTACTTACATAGACTCCTCTTTGTATATTCCTATTTAGTTATCATTTAGTAGCGTGGTAAAATAACATTACTATTGTAGGTTGCAGTTTCACTTTTCTTTTGCCGATTAGAAATATATTTTGATTTTCAATGTCTTGATAGAATGTTCTAGAAACTTTTTCCGTTCTGAATTGACGTGTGAAAACAAGAATTACATCATGTTATTACATTTAAACAATCTTCAAGTAATGATTTAGGAACACCTATGAATTTGTTTTGGGGTATTACAAACATTCCATATGGTTTGTTTTTTTATTTCAGGGTTACACAGCACTTCACATTGCAGCGATGGCTGGACACGAAGGTATCATGGAGCTACTGACCAGCACGTATGGTAAATTTACTTATTTCCTAATCTGCCCTCTAAGACGGACGCTTATCTTTCCATTATATAATTTAATATCCTCAATAACTTACATTATTTACTTACTAGTGGGTGTCTACGTTTTTCAGTGTTTATTTTCCTCGTACTTTTTGTCTTTCTCTTTATACAAGAATTATTTGTTCATGTGTTCATTTCTGTCTAATATTGATGCACTTTATTCTATATGTATACAACAATCCAAGATCTTTTGTTTTTTTCTGTGTGGTTAATTTCCTTTGCTTAAAATTCCTGTATTAGAATACTCTTCTAGTTACTATTAAATACAAATCCCTGTATTAAAATACTCTCCTGCGTTACTGATTATTAAACACAAGTCCCTTAGAGAGAGAGAGCTGTGACACACTAGTAATGAATTGAGTTCATTCTTGAAATGCACACCTAAAGGTGGAGTTTTTGTTCATGTAACTGGCTTAGGATGACATTCGTAGGGTGCTTGACAAGGTGAGTGTAAAGATGTCATTGGTTTACTGTGGTCATATTGAATATGTAATGACTTATCAAGCCTTTTTCTAAGCTGCAGTCGTGTCTCAAAGCCGTTGGTTCTCGGTGGTCATGTTGAATACCTAATGAGTCGTCCAGCCTTTTTCTAAGCTACAGTCAGTGTGAAGACCATTGGGTCACTGCAGTCATGTTAACTACCCAATGAGTCATCCAGCCTTTTTCTTAACTACAGTGTAGTCTTTTTCTAAACTATAGTCAAGTGTGAAGGCCATAGGTTCACTGTAACCATGTTAAGTACATAATGAGTGATCCAGCCTTTTTCTGAACTACAGTCAAGTGTTAGGCCATCAGGTCATCATAGTCATGTTAAATACCTAATGTATTATCCAGCTTTTTTCTAAGCTACAGTCAAGTGTGAAGGCCATTGGGTAACTATGGTCATGTTAAGTAACTAATGAATTATCCAGTCTTTTTCTAAGCTACAGTCAAGTGTTAGGCCATTGGGTCTTTATGATCATGTTAAATACCTAATGAGTCATACAGCTTTTTTCTAAACTACAGTCAAGTGTGAAGGCCATAGGTTCACAGTAACTATGGTAAATACATAATGAGTTTACACTTGACTGTAGCTTAAAAAAAGGCTTGATAAATCATTAGGTATATAACATGTCTGCATGGACCCAATGGCCTTCACAATGATTGTAGTTTAGAAAAAGGCTGGATAACACATTATATTTTTAAAATGATATAGTGACCCAATGGCCTTCACACTTGGCTGAAGCTTAGAAAAAAGCTTGATAATACATTAGGTATTTAACATGACTATAATGACCCAATGGCCTAACACTTGACTGTAGTTCAGAAATAGGTTGGATGGGTCAGTGGGTCAATACAATCATGTTAAATACCTAATGAGTTATTCAGCCTTTTTCTAAGCTATAGTCAAGTGTTAGACCATTGGGTCATTATGTCATGTTAAATAGCTAATGAGTCATCTAGCCTTTTTTCTAAGCTACAGTCAAGTGTTAGCCTTTGGGTCATTAAAGTCATGTTAAATACCTAATGAGTCATCTAGCTTTTTTATAAATTACAGTCAAGTGTGGACTCCATTGGATCACTGTAACCATATTAAATACCTAATGAGTTATCCAGCCTTTTTCTAAGCTACAGTCAAGTGTTAGTCCATTGGGTCAATACAATCATGTTAAATACCTTACCAGTCAAACAGCTATATTCTAAGTTACAGTCAAGTGTGAAAGCCATTGGGTCATGTTAAATACCTAATGAGTCATCCGATTACTGTGAAGGCCTTGCAGTATTTTTATATCATGGCGACAAGTAAGCACATATTCTACAGGTCTGTAGAATAGCAAGTTGTACTAACTAGGAAGGTCAAAAGCAAGGTCAAGATATAGCTTACAGCAACTCTTCAAGCTTCACACTTGCCCACCCAGTTTATACCCACAGGGGAGAATACCTTATTCTATGTAAATTACCGACTTCAGAATATTTTTAATGGAAAATTAAATCTGGACTTAAATTTTTGAACATCAACACTTGTATACTTAAGGGTAGAATTCCCTATCGACTTTTTAAACACATTTTTAAAACTGTTTATGCACCCAACTGCTTATGGGTCCGTTAGTTGGGTCGTTAACAGGGCCTCTAATAACATACGAGTTACATACAAACAGGGTTGAAATTCTGCCGGTACTTACCGGTACTGAATACCGGAACTTACTTTTTAAGGCGGAACTAGTACCGGGACTTATTTGAGCTGCTTTTTCAGATGCGCGTGCGTTCCATTGTTCCATCAGAATGCATTTATTCATTGACACTCAACTTGGCGTTTTTTATGTTTACACGTTGATTTTTTTGTCTTTATCAAAAACATCTCCACTTCACCCAGCTGAGTATCTCTATTTTTATATTTTTTTTTAGAATTTCACCCCTCACACAAAACATCTAGTGCCAATAATACTGCATGTAAACCCACTAATTACTGTTGAAATTTGGTACGTAGTTTACGCAATAAATTAGTTTCTTCATTTAATTTTTGGTCAGTCCTTTTACTGTGAGTGTTCTACGAAGTAAAACTTAGATTAAATGAGGCAACGTGTGGATCACGTCACAATTAAAAACAAGTCGGCAGTTTGAGCGTTTACCTAATCTTTCACTGCTGTTATAATGAGTCTTTAATTTTTTTTCTATCTATTGTGCATGCGTTAGTCTTTCCATAATAAAGAACCTGGTATTATTTGTAGATTTAGCAATATCCCGGTTGTGCAGTGTTTATTGCACTTGTGGTTCGGTTTATTTTGAATTTCGCGCAAAGCGCTATCTGTACTAGCCGTCCCTAATTTAGCATCTTTCGTGAAATATTTCAGGTATGTTTAAACAGGTAGCTTTGACTACGTCTCTCTGAGGCTTATGGTTTATAATTAATATAACTTACAACCACGTGGTTACCAACGGTCACAACAATGTGGAGTACTCATGTACCGAAATTTATCCGGTAGAAAGAAAACTTCATTACAATGGTTTGGTTTGAATTTTGCGCAAAGCTACACGAGGGCTATCTGTGCTAGCCGTTTCTAATTTAGAAGTGACAGATTAGAGGGAAGGCAGCTAGACATCACCACCCACCGCCAACTCTTTGGCTTCTCTTTTTACCAACAAACAGTGGGATTGACCGTTACATTATAACGCTTCCGACGAGGATTCGAACCCACGACCCGCAGATTGCGAGTCGAGCGTCCTAACCACCTGTCTATGCCAGGCCTTGTGTGGGATTGACCGTTACGTTATAACGCCTCCGACGGGGATTCGAACCCATGACCCGCAGATTGCGAGTCGAGCGTCCTAACCACCTGTCCATGCCAGGCCTTGTGTTTCAGGCACAAGTGTTAATTTTTGATTAATTATTTCCTGAACTCTGTAAATTTTAACATAAGCGTGTTTCTTTTGTAACCTGTTTTATTTTAGTTTTTAATGTGGATGACAATTTTCTATCAGTTTCATGCAAGATCTTTATTAATTGTTTTTTGTTGCGAGCTACATTTGTTTATACTCACAATTGCATCGATGTCTTATAATATAAATTATGTTAGCTGAACCCACTTTTGTATTATAATAATTAATTCTTGATCTGACCACGCCCATCTGCTGACATTATCTCCATCCAAACTATCACATCAATTTCTGTAGTACAACAGTATTAAGGGAAGTCACGATTATTCAATAAATATCTTAGCCACGCCCACAGTTCTTACTGCAACAGGTTACACAATAATTAAAAAGTATATGTTTATTTTGGTAATAAGTCTGTTTGTGTTACGACACTGTTTCCGTTTCCACGTAAATATTGTGTTATAGTCGTATTTTGGTTGACTTTAACCCTTATTGTATTAAAGCTCTATGCGAACAAGCCATCCACTTATGTGTTAGCCTAAGCCTCCTTATATGTTAGGGCTTTTACAGAGTAGGTCATGCCATCTTGTTTATTATACCTGTATTTTGTTTTGTTATGTCCCCTTTCTCGTTATAGCCCTGTTTATTTAGTCTTTGTTCATCTGGATGTCATAACTATGTGTATGAAAAATGCAACCCTTTGTATATCAGGCTGACATCTCCTATGTTACAGCTGTTGGAAATTAGCTGTGTATTATATACCTGTATTTTGACTTGCTGCTCATCTTATAACTGTATTTAGTTAGGCTTGCCCTTTTGCGTATTATACCTATGTGTGAACAGAGCAACCTTTTGTGTATTAGGCCACACTTTCAATATTATAGGTGTAAGTAGGCAATACCTTTTTTGTGTATTTTAACTGTATATATATATACATGTATGTCACCCATCTTTTCGCTGTAGCCTTGTACCCTCTGTTGTTCGTTGTAGCTATTAATTAATAATTACACCTGATCAAATCAATCTGTATACTTAGAGCAAAACTAAAAATCAACCTGGCAATCAGTATAGCTAATTAAATATACTTTTCTTAATTATAATACATTGTTTCATCAGTTGGATACCCTCGCTGTTAACAATTTTTCGGCCGTGATCCAAACAATATCTCACGAGGTTCCGCTAGCTTAGGAGATCTAGGTTAGTCCTAAATACATATATTAAGCTAGAAACGCAAACCATTCTTCATAATAATAACATATTAGTAAACAATGAATAAGAATAATTACCGAAATCCTAAAGAGAATAACCGATACTGTTTAACGAAAGTAACAATGAATAAATAACAGGAAACACAGACACACACTAGTTGTAGGCTTAAACTACTGTCGTAGAAGAAGTTTTGTTTATGCCTTGCACCCTTTTTTTGTTCCTTATATCAATGTTTTGTTGTTCGTGATATCTACGTTTTGTTAGGCCTTATACCTTTTTTGTTCGTTATGTCTGTGTTTAGTTAGGCCTACCGCCCTTTTTTGTTTGTTATATCTATGTTTTGGTAGAGCTTGGCACCCTTTTTTGTTCGTTAAATCTGTTTTGTTAGG